CCATGTGGACCTTTGTTGGCAAGGTGATGTCTCTGCTTTTTAAGATGCTGCCAAGGTTTGTCATCTATCTTCTTCTCTATCTTCCCATGTTGTTTTAGTTTTTCCGAGATTATCCTGGCAGCAAAACTCTTTATGAAGCAGGAAGACTCAAAAGCTGTCATCAGCATCTGTCACTTGATGCACACTTGGATCGAATTTAACAAGAGAACAATGTTGTTGATTTTTCCTACCTTCCTCCCCTGCCGCATCTATTAAACTTCATTTGTTAACAATTTTGGTTCCCTGGGAAATATTTTCCTGCTTGACAGTAGCACTAATGTGTTATGTTATAAATTCTATTTCAACTACATTTTCTGACTTCACCGTATAAAGTATATATATGTATATATATATAATCTCTAATTTACATGAGTTGTTTTCAAAATATTTTGTTACTGTAATTGTAGCTTGTTATGTAACATTAAGTCAACTCTGACTTACAGCAACCCTAAGAGGGTTTTCAAGGTATGTGAGAGACTTAAAGAGTGGTTCTGCAAGTGCCACACTCCATTGAGTTTCCATGACCAAGCAAGGATTTGAATCCAGGAGTCCTAATCCATCACTCTACCCATTTTGGCTCACTGGCTCTGTATTATAATTACTATAACTACTATTGTTTGATTTTAACAGCTCTTATTTAAGGTAGCTAGAGAGGACGTGGAAGTAATACAGCTACTTTTGAGGAATTTACAACCCACATAAGATGGACAGGGATAATGTAAATCAGAGACTGCTACATTAGTGATAGAGATGCTTAGACAAGACTAGACATTCAGGTTCAGTCAGGTTTGACTGATTCAGGGAAAGCTTCTTTGTCCATGGATGGACCTAAAGCTACTAGAAACTTTTCATGTGGTATAGTCTTTCTCATACTGTGCCTGACATTGTAGCTATTCAGAATCCAGGTAGATAATTGCTTATTTGAATGCTTTTCAATCTGAATGTTGCAAATGTAGTTTCATCATGTAGGGATCCAACACTGGAATGACAGAGATAATTCTTCTGAGTCAGCTGAGTCAATATTGCATGTTTTTCCATGGTTGCATCCTGTTGGTTGATGGGTCAGAGGAAGCTGAGGTTAATTCAGCAAAGGAATCCTCATTCTGTGTCATAAATTCTTCTGCTGATTCATAAAGTACTTTTCAAAAACCCTCTTGTGAAGTGCAGTTTGGAATGCTGAAGCCCTGGATGAGAAGGTTAATTATTTGCCTAGTGTTTCATCCAATATTTAGTGTTAAT